TATTAACACTTTCAAATTTCTGCAATATTTCTCCTTTGAAATCCGGTGTAGCCATCATTTTCTGGGTTAGGGAATTGCTGTCTTATTTTGGCAACTGCACATGAGGGAAGCACAACTCTGTTCTCCCTGCCAAGGTAGCCCCAACAGAAGCGAACCAGATTCCTATATGCCACATGCCGATACTGCCTGTGAAAGAGAATTAAAAACATTAAATTTTAATGCAGTTTTGAAATTTTGGTAATTTACAATAAAAAAGAACGTAAACTAGGCCTACATTAAAAGTTCAACTTACTCTTCATTTGAGTGAGGTAAAGCAGCCATTGCTCCATACTGCTGCCTGTAGGCCAGGTATGCTACCTGTAACACCCATTCGTTCAGGCAAATGTCTCTGAAGCCAGGATGGTGTGTTATGCATTCACCCTTCATATCAACTTTCTCCATTTTTTCGTTGATTTTTGTGACTTCATTGCAACAAATGCATTCCTTTGCTGTTGGCATTGGTACACAGTTTGTACAGGTACACCTGAAAAAAAAGGATTTTAAAAGTAATAATAATCATTAAGGAGGGATTATTTAAAAAATTGAAAATTGGGATTAAAATATACTGTCATGGGGCCATGATGAAAATAGGTTTGGACTAAACTAAATGGATACTTCAAGAATGGCTGGCCCCTACTTTATTTAGTTAAAATATAAAATTATTGAGTATGGCTATACTGTATAAATAAATAAAACAAACTTTCGCATGTGTTCGAACATTTCGGCCGCCGATCATTTTCTATCGCGGGCGCGCCTAGGCCATGCTACCCTACAGTTACTCATTAGGCGTATGATGAGATGCTGGGCTAGCGGGAAATAAAGACACTGGAAAATTGTCGGCAAAACTACAGGGTATAGTAACTGTCTCTTATACACATCTCTTCTACCCCTTATGGGGATCCTCAAGAAATGTTGGCAAAATTTGATAGCCTGAAGAACCATGTGCAAAACATCCACACAGGGCACTCTGAACATTTCAAGGAATGTTTACATGCACCCATACAAGAGGATGGCAGGAGAAAGAAATGGCTAAAACCAGGTATTGTATTGTGTTATATGTTGTGTATAATGTACAGTACTCTACTTTATTGCAAATTTGATTTGTTATTAACTGAAATATGTATGAACATTTGAGCAAGCAGAGATTATTACGTAATTATCTTTATTATATCTTACAGGGTCAAAGGCTTGTGAGAAGCTGTGTGACCTACTGGAGAACACTCGCTTGCGGAAGGACATACAGAAGCTCAGCCCACATGCACAAACATCAGGAGTAGAGTCGTTCCATGCAACAATACTTCACTTCGCACCTAAATTGCTTGGGTATTCGTACAATGGCATGTTAAGCAGGTACTGTTGGCATTCATTATGAAAATCTTCACCTAGTGTATCATAATACCACCATTAATAATGTAATTTATTAAATATTTGATTTTGTATCTTAGGGTAATTTTGGCTGTATTACATTACAATGAAAATGCTGGACGGACAGCAGCGAAAGATATGGATGGAAATGAACGGTTCTCGTTCGAGTTTCCTAGAGTGTGGATACACACTAAAGAAAGTCTTGACAGATGCAACATTTGGTGAGCTATATTAAAGATGTTGCAGTGGCAGGACACATATCAAGATTTTCCAAGAAGTAAACGTATTTTCAGAAATTATGCTCAAACCAAAAGGCTCTTTTCAGAGCCACCACTTGAACAAAAGAGATAGCATTGTCTGTTGTGTTTAATTTATTTAGAAAAGAAAAACTGAAGCAAGTATACAACATTCAGAGTTAAAATTTTAACCCCACCCACTAATCATGAAGAATTAACCCAATGAAATTTAATACAGTAATAACATGAACACTTATATACATATTTACACACCAGAAAACACTCATAATGCTGAATCACAAAGGATTATTAAATAGATGAAACTTCTTCCCTTCTTAGCCTACAGGCTACTCCCCACAAAGCATAGTAAAAAAAAAAAAGCCTCCACAATCCACTGTTATTAACACTTTCAAATTTCTGCAATATTTCTCCTTTGAAATCCGGTGTAGCCATCATTTTCTGGGTTAGGGAATTGCTGTCTTATTTTGGCAACTGCACATGAGGGAAGCACAACTCTGTTCTCCCTGCCAAGGTAGCCCCAACAGAAGCGAACCAGATTCCTATATGCCACATGCCGATACTGCCTGTGAAAGAGAATTAAAAACATTAAATTTTAATGCAGTTTTGAAATTTTGGTAATTTACAATAAAAAAGAACGTAAACTAGGCCTACATTAAAAGTTCAACTTACTCTTCATTTGAGTGAGGTAAAGCAGCCATTGCTCCATACTACTGCCTGTAGGCCAGGTATGCTACCTGTAACACCCATTCGTTCAGGCAAATGTCTCTGAAGCCAGGATGGTGTGTTATGCATTCACCCTTCATATCAACTTTCTCCATTTTTTCGTTGATTTTTGTGACTTCATTGCAACAAATGCATTCCTTTGCTGTTGGCATTGGTACACAGTTTGTACAGGTACACCTGAAAAAAAAGGATTTTAAAAGTAATAATAATCATTAAGGAGGGATTATTTAAAAAATTGAAAATTGGGATTAAAATATACTGTCATGGGGCCATGATGAAAATAGGTTTGGACTAAACTAAATGGATACTTCAAGAACGGCTGGCCCCTACTTTATTTAGTTAAAATATAAAATTATTGAGTATGGCTATACTGTATAAATAAATAAAACAAACTTTCGCATGTGTTCGAACATGTCGGCCGCCGATCATTTTCTATCGCGGGCGCGCCTAGGCCATGCAACGCTTCAGTCACTGTTAGTAGGCCTACAGTTACTCATTAGGCGTATGATGAGATGCTGGGCTAGCGGGAAATAAAGACACTGGAAAATTGTCGGCAAAACTACAGGGTATAGTAAAGCTTAAAAATAATATACTATCCGGCATCTTCGACTGAATTTAGGTCTGGGCCTCCTAATTAAAGTCTCCGATTTTTTGCTTACCACTCCGTATTCAATAGCCTATCGTTGTCATCGCCGTCCTCATCCACCAAGTCTTCGACCTCTCCTTCGGCGAACTCGGGTTCGAACATGTAGGCTTGAGCGCCTACAATAACATCATCATCACTTTCTGTTTCTACTTCTTCTTCATCAAATGAAGAAGAATCATAATCCCTGTCTCTTATACACATCTAGATGTGTATAAGAGACAGGTCATCATCTGTAAACATAATTTATGCAATAATAAGTTATATTGAACATAAACAAAAATTATAATTGTCAACAAGCCAACGAAGCATTTACATTATAGGCATATAATTGGTATTTAAGAGATTATGAAAGGGCTCTATATTAATAACCTATATTAATATTATTATGGTTTATCATCACTATTAACCAATTGAAAGTAAAATAAATACAATGACAAAAAGAACTTTGCTTGATTGACAGAGTTTGAGTACTGTAAATCGTATTGGGCTGACAAGAGGTCAACTGCTGTTATTGGTATATGATAATTATAGTATCATTTGTTCATAATCATTATTTATATATAGGTGTTGTACATAAAAGTAGATGAATTGTTTGATATCACGAAAATAAGTTTCATCAATTCCTCCTGCAGCTAAAAGGGAACATGCCTCTAAACAGAAATGAAGTAAACAATAGAATTTTTTCTATAAATTTAGTAATATATACATTGTGCATTCACTTTCTGATAATTCCCAAATATCATGTATATATTAATTTAATTTTCATATAGCTAAGAAGAGTCAACCCGTCGAAAAAGAAAATGTGCCGCCAAAAAAGAAAAGTAAGTATCAATACCATTTATAATTTTTCCTTAAACAAACAGAAATGAAGTAAACAATATAATTTTTTCGGAAAATTTTGTAATATATACATTGCGCATTCACAGTCAGATAATTCCCAAATATCATGTATATATTAATTTAATTTTTATATAGCTAAGAAGAGTCAACCCGTTGAAAAAGAAAATGTGCCGCCAAAAAAGAAAAGTAAGTATCAATATCATTTATAATTTTTCCTTAAACAAACAGAAATGAAGTAAACAATAGAATTTTTTCTGAAAATTTTGTAATATAAAGATTGCGCATTCACAGTCTGATAATTCCCAAATATCATGTATATATTAATTTAATTTTCATATATACATGATATATATGAAAATTAAATTAATATATACATGATATTTTATATATTAATTTAATTTTCATATAGCTAAGAAGAGTCAACCCGTTGAAAAAGAAAATGTGCCGCCAAAAAAGAAAAGTAAGTATCAATGTCATTTATAATTTTTCCTTAAACTTGTGCAGATATTGTGTCATTCAGTTTTTAATACCTCTTATTTCTCATGTAATCTATGATTTGTTACTCCTTGTAGCTGCCAAGAAAAAGGCCGATCAAGAAAATGTACCACCAAAAAAGAAAAGTAAGTTAAAGCATCAGTGTTGTGTTTGTGCAATCATATATGCAAATTCCAGTATGAAGAATACTGTAAGATTTTATTCAGACACCAATATAGCATACAAACCTAACAAAATAAATGTATACCATGTATATACCTATCGCAGAGTACGAGATTAATGAGCTTAGAGCTCTCGAAACTAGAAACTGCTTAGGATACCAAGTAGAATCTCTTTCATAATAAGTACAAATAGTGAAAAAAAAAATTTAAAAAAAATTCACCAGATATATTTTTCCTTTCAGCCATTGAACAAATCAAGAAAGGTAAGTGTGTTGAACGTACACTGGCACTCTATACGTATTCTTTTATTAATAACATTTTTATTAATTACTGTTAAAATTATTGTTACCTTCTAATTAGGCCTATTTACAATAAGCTCTATGCAAACAAAAGTGTAGCCAAACAAATAGTGTGGACACATTGCAAAGAGCAAGTACATTGACAACTTATATACTATATTTATAGACAGACGAGACACCATCAGAGACATGGCTAAAAAAAAAATGAAGGAATACATCAACATGAAAAGCCAAATGGTAGAAAATCTCTCTCTGACACCACCACCTCGCTCCCCAACACCGCCACCACGCTCCCGAACACCGCCACCACAGGCTTTATTGCAGCCGCTGGCTTCGACAGCATCCCCACCAGTGTCTCCGCCTCCATCAACATCGTCACCACGTCGGGCCGCATCGGAACCAGGGTCTCCGTCTCCATCAACATCGTCACCAGATCGGGCCCCAACACCACCACTGCCAGCTTTACCACCGCCGCCAATATCTCCACTGGCCCATCGACTGATGTCAACAATGATTGGGGAGCAAACCTCCACAGTCCTGTCAGTGTCAGAGATGTTGACCAATAAGGCATCAGCAGTCCTAAAGCAAAACTCAGCTGAACATGCTGTTTTAAAGCAAATGATGACTGATATTAAATCAGAGGTAAATATTATATTCCTGTACTGCTGATTAATGTGATATTTGTTATATTTCATACTAACAGTTTAACAAACTCACTCGACATAAAAAAAATCAGGTTTGGTGCGGCGCATATTCCAGCATTGACGGTATTATAATAATAGTTTTCTACAGCTGAAGTTGTTGGGTTGCTTTTTATCTTCGAAAGGAGGCAGAGCTGACATATGACATCCAAAGCAAATGAATAAAATGTTATTTTACTAATACACAATTTCATGGAAACTTTTATTAAAAAGCTATATGACATGCACACATACATAGTTAAAGCATGGAGGAAATATATTAAGAAGGAGTACCATCGACCTTATCGCTTATCTTTAATCCAATTACGCGGTCAAATAGAGCCTATACATTTGCACTACGACCGCCCGTGGAGCTATCTTACCACCGATCTCTTTAGACACACAGCTCCTCGCCGCGGAAGCTTAGACCCCTATAGCCGCGGTAGCGTAAGAGGAGTACATAAAT